ATGAAAATTATCCTTACTGAACGTCAATCATCCGGGATCTTGGGCTCCATAATGGACAAGTTGATAAGATGTGTCAACGCAGGGGATAGCTGAAGAAAGTAAGCTTCTATGAGAAATGGTGAGACACCATCCGGCCTGGTAGCTGTTGAACTTCGAACTTATTGAAGGTGTTTCACCACTGTTACCACAAACACGGGTGAAAAGACACTTGGTAGAAATAATTTTTGCCGGACGGAGGATAGGAGCCGGTGTGAGTGTGGGTTAAATTTGCATTTAAACAGTCTAAGTTAGCATTGGCATGTACCAATGTATTGCGTAGCCCAGTGAGACGCTTAAGACTCTTCAATTTTCATCCGAGGAAAGAGAGGAAACGAAGATGTAGAAGAAGTAAAAAGCTGACTAACAATGAGGCTATTCAGTTCGGAAATCTCGCGTTTTAAAAGGACTTAACGTCCTTTAGACTTTCACGTAGATCTAGTCTGTAGAGTAGTTGCTTTTGGCGTCTTCAAGTTTTTAGGTGGGGAGAAGAAATTATATCAGGCCTAACCATAATGGTGTCAAGAGAACAGCAGATATTAAAGATTTCGTTTAAAAAGGTTATGAGGGTACTAGAACACGACTCGACGTTCGAGTGTTCAAGAAAGGTGGGGTTTTTTAGATATGCAAGTCTAAAGCAAGGGCCTATTATGCGGAGACCTATTGCGCACCTTAAATTTCGTCTCGAGTTTTCCTAACAGCACTTGCTTAGAGCTGGAATAGATGGCTGGTAGACCCAATAACATAGGATTGTCTGAATCTGATGATGGAGTTCTATTTTTACAGCAAAAAACTGCATTTACTCAGTAACTTTGCGCCTTCACTTATTTGGACGTTAATTTTGCCTACCAAAATGTTTGTAGACACGATAGCTGACATTCTTCCGTAGGTTTGCTTTGCTTCGCGTCATTATCTTTTTCTCATTGTAAACCGTGCAGATGTTTTGGATTTATCTATACTCAGGATATTTCACCCCCTGCTTCAGACAAAAATCACCCCGAGGATGCTAATGACCGTGTGAATAAGATCAGAGCAAGGAAGATTTTTGCATTGCCAGTCGCACCCCTTTTACACCTCGTCATGTTACTCTGTTGAGATTAAGTCAAAACCAAAGGCAGTCGAATTGAACGCAGCCGAAGATGAGTCGTTCGTTCTGTTCTCTGTGTGCGTAAAGTATATGCAGGTTGCCTTGTCGCTAAATGCTAGCAGGCACCGATTCCCAGTAATGTTAGTACTAGCCCTTCTGGAATGAAGCACAAAGCCATTTGTGATACGGGCAGCAGTTATAACCGTGTTCTGCCTGTTTACTTTCGATTTTTCAGATAAAACAACGCACGTTGCAAGCAGATAAAGCTGCGAAAAACGTAGGCTTATTGTGCTCTAGAACTTGACCTTTTTATTTACCGTACCGACTTCTTCCAGTATTTTTAAATGCAGTTAGTGAAGGCATGGACGCCGCTGCAAAACCTGTTTATGCTGCATTTATGCGACTACATGCAGGGATTCTAAAAGTGTTATCAAAGACAAAACGCGACGCCCCCTATTCCATCCTGCTATCATACTAGATTCCAATATCACACCGTTTTTATCTAAACTATGCTATTCAACTGTAAGGACGATAGACAATGCGTGTATTGTTTTGGACTTGTTCTGCCTTCCTCTAGCCAATCATAACCCTGAAAATGCAATAAGCCTGAAACAGTACCGTATCAATCTGTCCCCATTCTCTGTCCTCTCTACGATTTGCAAGTAGGACTCAGTCCTGTTGGTTGTCTGTTCATGACCTTTGCCACTCACATGGAGCTTTTTTGCTTCGGGAACCATTGGATCGCTGTGCGACCATTCTTGATTGGATCCTATTCGAATTAGGTCTTATAAAATAAGGTTCCTGTCCACTTATTAGGTCCAAATGCCGCCAAATTATAGTTCACCCCCCAACTATCACTCCCAGGCCAATAGGTCTAGTATGGTTGTTACCTATCAAAATTCACTCACAAAAAGATTTAGTTGAATTCAAAGGCAAATCCACCCGATACATGCTTCTCTGCCATTCCCGATCGCGAGTATGCTCCCACCCTATTTAAGGAAGTCATACCGCTTGAGTAGACATTTCCTGTCCAGGTTTGTTTTTCTATCGTTTTT